GTCCAGTCCGTCAGGGACACGAGCTGATCTCGGTCCGGGTCTCTGCAGCTCAGCAGGAGTCATGACTCTCTACCACGGCCGGTTCGGACCCCCCGCCCCGGGTCTGGGCCTCCCCGGACCCCCTCTCATCTACCTGTACGGTCCGGACGGGCTGGCTCCGGGCCGCCAGGAGCCCCCCCAGAAGCCCCCCTACAGCTACATCGCGCTGATCGCCATGGCCATCAGGAGCGCGCCCGGGCAGCGCGCGACCCTCAGCGGGATCTACCAGTTCATCATGGACCGGTTCCCGTTCTACCGGGACAACAAGCAGGGCTGGCAGAACTCGATCCGGCACAACCTGTCCCTGAACGACTGCTTCATCAAGGTGGCCCGCGAGAAGGGCCGGCCCGGGAAGGGCAGCTACTGGACCCTGGACCCCAGCTGCCTGGACATGTTCGAGAACGGCAACTTCCGGCGCAGGAAGAGGAAGACCAAGAGCCAGCAGGAGGTTCTGGACCCCGGAGACCCCGGACACAAGCGCGTCAAGGCTCCGGGGCCACCTGGACAGCCTCGGACCCCCAGGAGCGCGCAGGGACCCCGAGAGGACCAAACAGAACCCAAACTGGTTCTCCTCACGAAGCAGCAAAGACACAAAGTCCTCCCGAACCTGGACCCGGACGTGTCCTCGGAGAGGGGACTGGAAGACCCACAGACCGAGCCGCGTTCCGGTCCGCTGTGGACTGGTGTCCAGCGGGGCCAGGAGGAGGACCGGAGCTGCCCAGTCAGCTCAAAAACAAATGTTCCGAGGCTGAATGGACCGGATGTTCCGAGAACAGAGAGGTCCAAATGTTTCACCATCGACAGCATCTTATCCCGGAGCTCGGAGGAGGCGCGCAGCCGCAGTGTGGACCAATCAGCGGAGGTCCTCAGCGCTGCTCCTCAGCATCACTGGTACCGGTTCGGACTCCCGTTCTGCTCCTACCTGAGCCTCACCTGCCCGGAACCTGCGCTGCTTTTCAAATAAACTCCGCCCTTTTTGGATTTTACGCACAGATGCGTAAAAGTCTGAAGAATCTGAGCAGATGTTTTATTTTTAAATAATTAAAAACTGTGGATCTGTGTCATCTTCATCATCCTCTATCTCCTCATCCTCATCTTCATCATCCTCAACACCATCATCTTCATCAGTGATGTGCTGACAGGATGGCGGGAAACTCATCTTTACGCATGCGTAAATATTAAGGAGCAAAACAAGAAATGACCCAAAGTTTTTGTCTAAATGTTTATAAAAACGTATGATTTTTTTTACTTAATAATTATTTTTGATGTTTTGTAATAAAAAAACATCATGATGA